CTGCTGCTGCTGCTGCTGCTGCTGCTGCTGCTCAGCCATCAGCCACATTCATCCACATTCGTGATGGACGGACGCCCATCGCGGCACCGCGGCAGCGCGGACCCATGCTGCCCATCATCTTCGCCCCGCCGCGCCACGCACTGCTTCGATCTCGCATCCGCATCCGCATCCGCGCATCCATGCATGCACGCACATCTTGTCTCTCTCGGCTCTCGCCCATGCACACGCTCCGCCGCGTACGCACGCAGCCCAAGCTGCTGTTGCTGCGCGCTGCTGCAGGAACGCCGGCTTGGGCCGAATCGCAAGCAAGACATCTCCCGCCATCAGCAGCATATATGCACATTCAAGTCACGTGTTGAAGGGTGAGTACGCAAACAAACACTCATCACGCCATACCCATGACGGTCTGAGTGTGACACCGCCCTCGCTGCTTTCCATCAAGCCTTCATGATCACACGGCGTTCGCGTTCGCGTTCACCAGTCGGTCATCCATAATGCGTGCACGCATGGCGCTCGCAGCCTACGCACCCTCGATCGTACCGCACCAAAGATGACCCCGAAAGCTGGCCCTTCATCCGGCCCATTCACTCGACCATCAGGCCTACGAGGCATCAAATGTCCCCCTCGCTCACATGACTTGATCGACACTTCGCAGCAGGGCTCAGCTTGGGTCTCATCAGCCTTCGGCCAGACCCCCCGAAATTCAACATCGACTAGCATTGCGAAGGATGAGGTCATCGAGTCGCGAGTCGTTGCTCCTCGTCGCACATCGGCGGGCGGGTGATGTGCAAGATGATGGCAGCAGCATACAGATCACCTACGTAATCACAGCCTCGACTCTCTCGAAGCGGAGGAGCTGCTCTTGTGAGCAGAGAGCGATGCCAGCCTATCAATGTGCTTCTCGGCATCTTGGCCAATGCGCTTCACCAGCTCTTCGCACGTGGGCTGCAAGAGCGTCGAAATGGGTTCGAGGTTAGTGTCGTGCGAGCATGTGTAGGTCACACTCTGGATGAGAAGAGGCGATTATTTCTACTCACAATATCGTGAATGAGTCCAAGCGTGATTCCGGCTGTCCACACTCCCGCATCCAGATCGCCTTCGGTGTACACCTTTCTTCCACGCTGACCAGACACGAGCGGTTCTACAACATCGGTGGTCGAGGGATGAGGTGGTGGCAAGGTCAGGTCGGCACGCACATTCTCGCGAGAGTGATGCGCAACGTGTGCGCGCCTTTGCGCCGACTGCGGTGCAAACTCACGAATCTCTGGGAATTTGGCTCCCTTCTTTTCCAGCTCTACGACTTGCATCGACACCTTGTTCTTGAACACTCTAGCGGTGTTCCTTAGCGTGCGGAACATGTGCACCGTCTGCCTCTCGTCCGAGTCCACGATAGCCCTCTTGACATTCTCGTGGATATCCGCCTCCTTTGTGCACATGAACCTCGTGCCCATGTTCGCTCCGCATGCGCCCAGTGCCAAGGCAGCGGCCAGCCCTTGGCCATTGGCGATTCCGCCAGAGGCTATGAATGGAACGGAAAGCTCTTCGAATGCGCGCGCCATCAGTACCAGACCTCCGATATCGTCTTCTCCTGGATGTCCGGCACATTCGAAGCCGTCGATGGAGAGCATGTCTGCGCCGAGCTTCTGCGCGCTACGAGCGTGCCTAACAGTGGTGCATTTGTGAATGACGTAACCCCCATACTCCTTGACAGCCTTGATGATCGGGCCCGGATTGCTTCCCGCCGTCTCAAAGATCCTCACACCTTCCTCGAGCGCAGCGCGCGTGTACCCCTCGTAGTCAGGCGGGTTGATGGAAGGCAAAATGGTTATGTTTACTCCAAATCCTCCATACTTGCTTCGCTTATCCACACCCGGCTTGAGGTTCTTGCGAGTCTCTCGGATCGCCTCTCTGAGCGCATCCGGAGAAGGCTGCGTCAGAGCAGTCAGCAAGCCAAGTGCTCCGGCGTTGGATACGGCAGTGACGAGTTGAGGTACTCCGACCCATTGCATACCGCCTTGCACAAGCGGCACCTCCAATCCGAGAGCTTTGGTGAGCTGGCACGAGCGAGGCGTGATCGAGCAAGGAAAGGTAAATACACTGACGGAGGTTGTGCAGGCGGAGGCGCACGCGCGCAGTGCGCAAGCTTTGCAAACTTACTTCGGTGACGAGGACCATGTTGATAGGTCTGCCTATATCTATGTACTTGTTTGAATATGGTCCCTGGGGCGCTCAGGCGCAAATTGAACGGCGTGGCGCTGGGAGCAAAGTTCGGGGCAAGGCGACAATGATCAAGCGGTACAGGCGCGCCAAGGGTGACCGGTTGCTTGTCTGAGGCAGAGGTGGGGGACTTTGCAGTTCCGCGGTGAGAAGATGGGGTGAAGAAAGGTGAAGTTCAAGCAGGCGGTCTGATTATAAGAAGTCTGAGTGCGTTGTTGGATGAACACCACACCACACCACACCATCACTAGGATGTCGACTTGCATGGGCAGGCCATGCATGCGTGCGCGGATGCGGCGAGTCATGCACGGTGCAGGTGCACTCACGCTCTACGACCTGCCCCCCTTTGCGCGCGCCTTGCTTGGCTGCCATGCATACAGTACTTGATTGCTGCCGGGCCGGTCGCCTACATTTTATCCGGGCCGGTCGCACAGCCATGCGTGTGCAGCAGCGAACATGGAAAAGGGTCGCCCGCACAGCAGGCCAGCGTAAGCGATCTGGTGGGCCTACCTACTCACTCGTGACTCTTCAGACCTGTGCACGGCCTCACCTCCGTCATCGCGCTCCGGTACACCGGCAAAGTCGTTCAAGGCTCCCAGCCTCAATCTTAGCCGGACGAAGGACATACGGAAGCTGATGAGCCTGTTGATCACCATCACAAATACACTGTAAAAATGTCGTTGTGGGGCCAGCAAGTCACGTTTCTGAACAGTAAGTAGCATCCAATCGCGAACGCATCATCGTCTCCATCTCGAGACGATGGAGCGCCACGTGACGGAAACGTAGAGTCGAGTGTACGGTTCGGCTATTCAAAGTCTCGCTCTTGAGCTCGGCTCTTCGTGCCTCGAGTTGGCAATGTCATGACAAGTCGAGAGAGGGCACTGTCGACGACCCTTGTGCCATAGGCAGGCGTCGTAACAGAGGCGGCGTACTTGCTGATCTCAAGAGCGCACCCACGTGCAGCATTCTTCGCATCCCTCAAAAGGTGTTGCTAGCACTCACAGCCCGGAGCAAGTGTCCGGAGGAAAAGGAAGCGACTTCAGAAGAAAGTCTCTGGCTTGCCGTAAAGATCCTCTCAAACAGATTTAGTCAACAAGACATTTCGCTCTCTTTCTATTTGTAAGGCTTTGAATTCTCCATGGGAGCAAAAAGGTATCGAGCGAGCCGAGCCACCGGGGCCGACGCACCAAGATCTGTACAGGCAAGTCCGAGCAAAGGAGCGTGTGGAATTGAACCCGAGAGTTCCAGGAGACATAAGCAAGGGGCTCAGCAAGCGAGATCATACAGTACAACAAAGCAGCAAGGAGGGCATCAGAGAGCGATTCTTTGCAGACTTGCGCATCATCCGGGCAGTGGTGTTTCGACAGGTGCAAACGCACGCTCAAGCGTTCATGAGGCTCAGACTCTCCATCTGCAGCTGTTCGATGGACAGCTGTAGTCTGCTCAGCTCGAGCGCTCGACCAGCTGCGCTAGCTGCGAACGGTTTTGCGCCCGGGTGCCTAGCGACCGAAACCTCTGGCTCGATGAGGGAAGGTCCAAAGGCAAAGGGAGCAGTGACCTGAAAAGCGCCAGGAGAGGATTTGGAACGCGCGTGTCCAAACTTGCGTCCACGGTCCATCTTGACCGCGTTCAGCCTCTCCACTTCCACCAAAAGCCTCTGGTGCTTGTTCACAGCTGCCGGCTCTGGAATCTGCGGGAACACGTCTCCCATGTCAACCTCCTCGAAGTTCTCCGCTGCCGAGCTGAAGTCTGCGCTCCATTCTTCGCTAGAGATGGACACTGCAGAAAAGGCAGACTGGTCCTCCAGACCATTGTCCTCGTCCATAAAGTCGCGAACGCTTCCCCCGAACTCGGTCGTGACGCTGTCGGAGCTTTGTGCTGGAATGCTAGCCGCGGAGTTCGTCTCTACTTCTGCCATCGCGATGGGCTTGATGGCTGCGATGGTGATGGGCGGTGGTATAGGCTTAGTGGCACCTGTTGCCTTGGCCGACACGGTAGCAGCGACAGTTTGCGCGTCGGTGGTGGGTAGAGGCGGCACGATCTCCTTGGTGTCGATCACTTGCGTCGAGGCAGCCTTCGTGATCTGCCTGCCGTTCAGGAGCGCCGCTTTGGAGGTCTTGGCAGGTGGCGACGAACTTTCTATGCTGGTTCTCGGGGAATTGGTTGCGTCGCTATCTGCGTAGCTGCTTCCAGACGAGAATATAGAGTCCGCACGGTAGGAAGAGCCAGACCTGCTGCTGCCGTGAGAGCTGACGCTCGCAGTGCGCATCTTGGCGTTCATGAAGCGCGGTGGCGAAGCCTCGGATGAAGATGGCGTGATGGGCGCGTCCTGAAGCATGGCGTTGCCTATCTTGGTCTCGCCATCAGAAGCCGCCGACAATGTGTGTGCAGCGCATTCTGTGACGGTGACTGTAGGAGCTTGATGACTGTGATCTTCTGCAGAATCGTCAGAATCGACGGAGTAGTCGGTGACCGCCGACATCAATGGCGATCCACCCAGGGAAAAGATTGCCGATTGTGGTCGAGCAAGTGGGACTGCCTGGGCTTGAATCGGAGTGGCAAGCTGTACAGGGACACCATACGACTTGAGCAGAGCAGCCACGGTCGAAGGAGAGCGCGAGGCAAGGACAGCTGGAGTGTTAGGGTATGCTGATAGGGCCGACGAAACGCTCCACACCGAGACAGCCGAAGCGCATGCGCTTTTGAGGGATCGAGCAGTGGCAGGAGTCCTTCCAGCCCAGGTGGGCGTCATGCTTGCGAGGTACGCATCCACATCTGCGACCCACGCAGGCAGGGGTGTTGGAAGGGCGCTCTGAGGCGTGTTGATCACGTTCATCTTGGGGCTTGTCTTGGTGCTCTCGGTGACGAGTGGCAGCTGCTTGGGCTGCTCCGCCTCTGGGGAATGGCGTAGAATCGCCTCGCCAATGATCGAGGCGCTCGGAACCAGTGGAAGCTTAATGATGGAAGCCACCAATGGGATCGAGGCTTGGCTGCCCGCAGGCAGGGTGGACTTTCGCGACGTGGGTGGCGACACCTTGGTGTGGGACGGCATCGCAGGCATCGATTGTTGACGTCGCGTGGGCATCCCAGGCTTAGCTTCGGATGGGAAGCGGTCGTGGCTCTCTCCCCAGCAAAGCTCGAGCCAGCTGTCGGGCACAATGTCTACGCTGCCACTACCGAGAGCCGACGCCAGACCGTAGCTCTTCGAATTGATTTTCGGAACTTCTGGAACGTCGGCTTGCTGATGCGATCTGCAGTCTGTGCACCCTTTCGTCCAAGGGCACGGTGTCTTCTCCATTGCGGCCGCTGCGACTAGCCTCTTGGCACTGCTGCTACCACCACCAAGCAAACGCAAGCTGATGCGGCTACTCTTGCGCTTGGGCGTGGGAAAGGTGACGGATCGCGCAGCGGGCGAAGCGACTGTGTGCTGTTTGACGCCATTGACAATGGGCAAAGGCGTCCGAGGCCGACCGCGTACGGAGCGCAGAGGTTGTCGGCGGGGTGACATGCTCTCGTACTGTCTAGGGCTGCTCTTAGAAACAGTCTTGTTCTTCAATCTTCTAGCCTCGTTCAGATCAATCGCGTCGACGATGCGAACAGTGGCTGCTGGTTGCTTGGTGGGAGCGCAGTAGATCTGCTTGCCTGGGACCAAGCTGCGAGGGTGGTTCGGCACTGGATATTTGTTAAAGCCTCTTGAGACCTTTTTGGCGTGCGCTGCCCGCAGATCGAGCGGTGTAGGCGCCGGCCGTCTCTTGGAAGAGCCCTGCATATGAGCTTGGGTGGGAGTGAGGCTGCGTGTGACGGGCATGTCTGAAAGTGATCTGGAGGGAAGCGTCTGCGCCAAGTAACGCGGTAATCATCTGAGTCAGCTGCGCCTGGTTCTCGCCGTAAGCAATTACCTGAATGACCCACCTAGTGGTGCTGTTGGCGGCAATCTGATAGCTTAGTGGCGGAGCCTGCCGCGGGTGACGAGACTGAAAGAATGTTGGTGGGGCCTGCCCAGAGCTACGGTGGTCGTGAGAGAGTGTAGGTCGGTCGTGGATGATGTGGTAGGGATCCTGCCCTACGCCTTGTGTATGGGTCCTGCCCTTGTGAATTGCGGGGTGAGCGCAATCGACGTCCGTGGAAAGAGATGAGGAGAGAGGTGGTGGAGTGAGCCAGGGTCCGACGAGGGAACAGCTCGTACCGCCGATGCCTTACCTTTAAAAGAGACGCTCAGCCGGGAAATGCGAGGGTGCAGAAGAGCTCGGGGGTCCGCCCTCGTGCATGCTACGCGCAGTAGAGTCTCGGGACCTGCAGCTCGAGCCCCGAAAGGCCGTGCTGCATGATCGCGTTCGTGATTCGTGGTTGCCTATCCTCTCGAAACGCCGAGGTTCCCCTATGTCGTGGCTGGCGGCACAGGTTGGGACGAGCGCCCATGTCCTTGAGAGAAGGCTTTCTTGCACAAGGAGACCCAACAAGACTGGCTCTGGGTCCCACGGGCGGCCAACGTGAAGTGGGAGTGCTGAGCATGCATGCAGGGATATGCTTGGTCGTAGCTAGCTCTTTAGACGCGGCAGCTAGGAAGCATAGCATCGTATAGCTAGCTGCTAATGCTTGCTACGCCGTTCTGCACGCCTTGCGCCCTGCTCCTGCCGTCGTGTCGCGGTCGGCGTGCCTGCATGAACAGGCATCTTGTACAGTAACACACACTTGTGACTCTACCATCAGGTCGCATATATGCAAGTCATCCAGGATCAAACATCGGTGACGATTGGCGCAGCGCTCAGGGCATGCATGCAGACAACGCCTCTTCATGCTTGCTGTGTATCGGGGTCCATGCATGAGAGCTTGTGGTAGAGTCACAGTGGTGAGCGCTGCTTGCAACATCGTCCACCGGTGCCGTGACTGGAAAGTGCTGTGACTCTGAATTGTGGACCTTTCCGGTAAGCAAGAGTTCGTCATGAAGTGCTCAGATGCATGGCTTGGCTTTCATGCAAAGGCGTGGTCGGCGCTCGAACGCGTATGCAAGCAGCGACTTTGGTGGTTGCGGCTGCTGATGTACGGTACGCATGCATGGTGCTTCCCAATCCATGCCTGACGGGACACTCATTGACAGAATCATGCAGCTGGGCGCAGTCGCAAGGGCGCAGCGCGTTAATCTTCCATCCGCGGGCACGCTCGAAGCACCGGCACACGTACGCGACACGCACGCTGCAGTACCGGCGATGCTGTGAAACATCTCTTTCCAGACCAAAAAGACGACGTACAGTATACACGTGGCGCGACGTCGGCCTTTGTGCCAATAAGTTCTGCTGTTCAATGGACCCAGCGTGAGATCGAGATGGTCAGCATGCGCACGAATGCGATTATTAGCTGAATCGGGCTGCAAGTGACTACGTGGACGTGAATCGGGCTGCTCACTCAAGACTCGTGACTGCAAACTCAACTTGGAATTCCGAACCCTCAAAGAATTGATGGAGCAGAGACCATGTGTACAGTCTTGAATATTACTACTACTGTCACGAGCCACGACGAGCCTCGCAAGTCCAATCCAGAGTGACTTTCGTCTGTCTGCTGAGCACCGTGACTGATCATCCGCAGCACTTGGTCGTGGAAGCGGCTTTCTCCACGCGTAGCTTCGTGGCTGACCTTGGCTAAAATCAAGGACATGCAGCTGCGTAGCCAAACTTTGCCAGTCTGAGCTTGCTACGGCCCCGCCGGCGCATGAGGCTCCTGCTACATCAACTCAGCGCAACGCACACAATCGTCAGAGCTTCACAAATGCTGCGTGTCGCGGCGGAACTGGATTGGACCGGCTTGATGAGACAAAATTTGAATGGCTGTTTAGAAAAGCGTACAGTGAGTCATATTGATGCACCAAACCGGGAAGGGGACGTGCGTCAGCCTCTCCCAAAAGGCTCGTGCGAGCGACATCCAACGAAACTAGTCCCGCGCACTTCAAGGGAAGCGTGGATTAGGTGCGCCGTCCGCAAGCACAAGAAGCCTCGCTCGTCACCAGGTCTGAGGCACGTATTGCGGTGCATGCCGCCGATGTCGAGCTTTGTCCCTTCGCTTACCTGTGTGCGCGAAGCGCTTCAGCAAAGAAGCCTCTTGGAACTTCTGAAGCGCGCCCAGGTGGGGTAATCAAGAATGGCACTCTGGAGGGAGCGGATGATGAACAAACGTCATCGAATGCTGGTAATCAAGATTCAAGATGGTCAAAGAGTCAAAAGTGATGAGGCTGAAGTTTTGAGGTCATTCATTCAAGATTGATGAGAACAAGAAGAGTTACGAGACAATGTTGAATCGTGCATCGCGAATCACGTGAATGGAAGTTGAAATCAACGACCACGCACGACCTGATCACGTGCTGCTTATCAGCATCAGGAAATCTTGCAGCAACCACAATTGAATCAAGAATCTTAAATCAAAAATGAATGGCGTGCTCGTCCCTTGTCTGGCAGCCGAGCAATCCAAAATTGAGGCGCGGATCTTTTTTAAACTGTCCGCGGCAGTGAACGTGCACGTCCGCCTTGAGGCGTATGCCGTCTGCATGGCGGTTGGCGCGCCTGGAAGAAACGTTCGATAACATTACGGATCGCAATCACCAGTCTGTCCTCTCTGCCTGCCACCAACAAAGAGCCACTAATTCGGTTTCGCAGTCGCGATTCACCATTCACTCTGAGCTTCGCACACCCTCGACTCACAACTGTATCGAGAGATTGGCTTGTAGCTTGAGAGACACAATGGCGACGAACGGATCTCGAGATGCGCCAGATGTGGCCGCACTTCGCAAGCATCTCGTCTTCTACCCGGACTACCCCAAACCGGGAGTCAACTTCTGCGATATTCTTCCCATCCTGCGCAATCCGATCGCATTCGAAGGTCTTATCACCCATCTCCTTTCGCACGTGTTCGGCGTGACGCTGCCCAGGCTGGGAGATGGAGCAAAGATCGATGCTGTGGTAGGGCTGGACGCTAGAGGATTTTTGCTGGGACCTATCCTTGCACTGCGCCTCGGAGCTGCCTTTGTTCCCGTCAGGAAGCAGGGCAAACTTCCTGGATCATGCGAACAGGCAGTGTATGCCAAAGAGTACGGAGAGGTGAGTGGTGATGATGAGAGCTCAAGAGGGCGTCTGGCCCAAGGCGCTCATACTTGTCCTCGGTGACCACCTTCATCTAGGACATCTTTGAGGCGCAAGCAGGCTCGGTGCCAGCAGGAGCCAACGTGCTCGTGGTGGATGACTTGATCGCGACAGGCGGCTCCGCGAAAGCTGCAGGACAGCTCGTCACAAAGCTTGGCGCAAAGGTGGTCGAGTACCTCTTCATCGTCGAGATTCCTTTCTTGAAGGGCACAGAGAAATTAGATGCTCCGGCCTATTCGTGAGTATACTGCTTCAAAGCGCTCTCATCCTTCGGAAGCTCATGCTTGCAGCTCTTCATCGTGAAATGCAGCATGATAGATGTAGACTAGTCAGATGTGCATCGCGTCATCAAATTAAAAGCACCCCATCACACCGAACACGTCCACGTCACACACAAGTGAAGCTGAGCTTTGAGAAGATCTGATTAGGTACGTTGATTTCGGGCTGCCGAGCGACTAGTGTCAAAAGTCCATGGGTGGTGAAATGCACGGCAAGGTCCCTTTGGCGTGCACGCAGCTTGCTCGCGCCTAAGGGCAGTACGTGATCTGGAAGTTGCTTCCAAGGTCAGAGTTGCGGTCAGCGGCGTAGTCGTTGTAGACATCGTAAGCCTGGTCGGCAGGGCAGTTGCTCTGACGGCAAGTAGCAGAGTTGGGATTTCCGCTGGATGCGACAATGGAAGTGTCGACGTTGATGGACGCGTCGACGCGGCTCAAATCCCAAGAGATGCGTTGCCCTCCGTATGCGCCAAAGTCACCAAACCCAAATTCCTGTCGTGCGTGGGCAATAGGGCAAGGTCAGCGCTGGTCTGATCATGATCAGAGCGGGCTAGCTACACTCACGCTGTACAGCACACCAGCGTTGATGCCGGCATCGGTAGGCGTCAGGCCCCCAAGACTGTGTCCGGACTGGCAGTTGTCGCCGTTGCCGTCGCAACCCAGACGGGCCCAAGAACGAATTCCGATCTGGTGGTCGTCGACGCCAAAGTTGGCCGTGCCTTGAGGGGCCAGGTGAACGCCGTAAGCGACGCTTCCATCGACTTGGCCGTTGGGAGCCTTGCCAACACCAGGCCAGACGTCAAAGCCGCAGTTGTTTCTAAAGGCAAGGTTGAAAGCCTTGACGGGGACCGAGGCGCCCAGAAGGACGGCGGCGGAAGCGAGTGCGAAAGTGGTGGACTTCATCGTGGAGATGTACGACGTGTTGATGACGGTATGGGTGATGGGTGATGGGTGATGAACATTAAGATCTGGTGTGCTGGGATGAGCTGGGGAAACAACAGCATCTTTCTCGGAGTTCCTTCTCCCCTTGCATATATACCCTTTGGGAGCTTGCTGGGAGTTGCCGCTGCTTCAAAAGACTGCAGCTTTCCGCACCGACGACGCGCTAGCGCGGTCGCACGTCCCGTCATGAAGGGGTCAGTCAGCCAGTATGGTAGGAAGCGGCTGTGACCTTCAAAAATTTTAGCCATACTAAGACGACCGCCTATGTGCCAGCTGACGTCTGTTCGGCGAGCGCTCCGAAGCGGTGCGCTGTGAGTGTCAACAACGTTTGCAGGACATGCCGGGACGTTCGTTACAAGAATCATTGAATGCCGCAGGCGAGGCTGTGGACAGTTAGAGCTTTATGCAAGCAGCAGCCGTGGTCCCATTTGCATGCCATCTTGCGCCCTGTGCCTGAGCTATCCCAATTACGCATCGCGCGGCCGATGCGTTCGTAAGCATTGCTCCCCTGATCCAAACTTAAAGCTGGGCGCTTGATTGAAGCAGCAAGCCGAGAGTCTTGGCTTGGCACGTCTAGCCAGACGAGTGGTATATGCTGCGAGCTCATATCATGTGCAGGCTGACTGACCTTCGGGACATTTTTGCGGTCAATTGAATTCCCGCCGTGGCAGGAGTGATCCAACGAACGAGTTCAAGTGACTGCGTGTGGACTTGCGAGTTGCCGCCGGCGAGAGCAGGCTGGAGGCGGTTAGGCAGGCGATGGTTTGTCCGGAGACGCGGCTGCACAGCGCCATGCATAGGTATAACCTTTGGGACACTGTGACCGCTCATTAGCTGAGCAAGTGACGTCTGAAAGCAGAAAGAGAGGCTCTTGGCTTAGCTGTCCTATCATCAGCAGGAGGCGCCGGGAAGTTCATACATCAGGCTGCCGAGATCTCGCAGAGCGATGAGGTCGACGTTGCACCAATTGCAAGAGGGCCTCCACATTGATCACTGCATGCGCGTGGGCGCAATACTACTGCTGACTAGCTGCAGCATCACCATTCACCCGCCCGCGCTTCAACGGCTCCGGGGGCGCAACAGTGCAAGCCATTCAGATTAATCCAAGTCACAAATCGCGACGGGCCGTCTTCACTTATTTCAATCTCGACTGGCACGTATATGGACCTCCTCGGCTCACCTTTGCAGGTCGCGATTGCAGCAGCTGACCCTCACTTTCGGCAGCTGTGGAGCCAACGAAAGTCAGGGTGGCGGCGGATTCTGACCGCGGCGCAATTTCGACGCACCAACGCCTCTCGCTTTCAAGTTGTCGGCAAAGCGTGGATGAGATTCACGTTTTTTGAAGCTGAAGTATAAGTGGCTCTGACCGGGTTTAAGGCGTGACTAGTGTAGTCGCTGAAGTTGCAAGGTGGACGTGGGATAGAGCCCGTATAGCTGCACGTGATTGAGGCTTTGGGATCTGATGAACAGTCTTGAGTGGGAAAGCTTGCTGTTGCTCCCTGCTGCAGGCACTGCGCGAGCATCTTCTACTCGACTCGCCTGCCGTGATGAACGCCTGTACCGACAACTGTCCAGAAGGCACAACGAGCTGCTCTCCACTCGTCATGTCGCTTTGGTGCCGCTCCCGCCCATTCCGTTCTTATCAGCGACCATTTCAGAGTGAATGCGGACACTTTTGCGCTGCTGTGCCGCCGCCCCGACGCGCATATCCTCGGGTTGAGGAGAGCGTAGACTGCGGCAATGCTGATGCCCTGGGTCCGTCGCCGTCTTGACCTGGATGCGTGTCCGCTGTCAGCCACGAATCGTTCATAATAATGAAGTGCCCACTGCTGCTGTAAACGGACCACCCATGTCTGACCGCCGCTTCCTCCCCTCATCATGCTGCAAACCCAATTTGAATGGATCTGCCCAGCAGCAGCACGATTCAGGGCGCCCTGAGCGCCAGAGTGGCGCTCCAGTTCAGTCTTGAGTGAGTGTCACCCGCGCGCACTTATACCCACACCCCTGGCCACACTCCCCTTGTGCTGCGAAGAGCTCCTTAACTACATGCACACCGGTATAAGGATGAATTCGGAAGCGCAGCAGACGCAAAGACACATGCTGCGTCTCCAATCACGTTCGCATTGGTCCGCTTGAACAGAAGCTGAAGAGCTTACGGTAGGTACACGGGCCCCAATTAAGCTGCAGAGTCTCTGAGCCCTTGGCGCTGCAGGTCGATCGTGACCTCGAACGTTGGACGCTAAAAGTGAATTGCGCAACTTATTCGGGTGCGAGCGGCTCAGAGCAATTTACGCGCTAAGCTCGTGAGTAGCCCTGCGTGGGTGCGCGTGGATTTCAATCCATATTCAACATTTCGTGATCGAAGAGGTCTCCTTCCGTCTCGATATGCTTGATTATCAATTAAAGTCGCAACGCCGGCGTTAGAGTCTCGCCTCGGTCAACTCCGCCTCCGATTCTTGCTCTGCTTGGGTCACGGGTGGAGCACCGAAAGCTGATGAGAGCGGTGGGAAACGAGTCAAAGTGTGATAAGTGACGTGTAGGCAGGCATGCATGCATGTATCGTCTGCTGTACGACGCACAAACTCCGCCAATAGATTGCTTTGCCCACATCTGCTGCGTCTCCGATCGAGTTCGCAGCGATGGGCCGCGACTCAAGAGCAGTAGGCCTCAAGAGCAGCTTCTGAACGCGGCAAGCCTTCAGTCTCATTCACACGCATGCAGCACAGCAGTTTGAATGTGAATAGACATCAGACTAAGATTCACGTTTAGCGTCTAAAAGAGGCGCATTGAAGCACGTTCTGGCTCTTGACGGTCCATGAATTGCAAAGCAACTTCAGGTCCCCGATCCACACATATCCCATCAGCATCCGTGCCAAGCTAATACGGCCTCTGCATGGTCGCGGGTCCTTTCGAGCAACGAGCAGCCTTGTTGGCAGATGTGAGTGTGAGCAGATGTGAATGCGAGCAGGGCGGACGAAGCCAAGCATCTTGCTTCATTGGAAGGGTACATTCGCTTCCTCACTCGTCACCCGCCATCAAGTCCGCGCCATAGCTTGTATGCGTCCAGCGTCACACGGCTTGACGATACGGATCTGAGCTGCGTCCCAATCCGATCAACGCACCACAACGATCAGAGTCTTGAGGTATCGCAGACGACTACAACGCCGGTCGCTGACGCGTCTGTCATCGATCTCTTTGAACCAGATTCGACCTCTCCAGGCCAGATTGCGATGTCTTCGCAGGAAGCCCTGATGGGGCAGCTTAGGGGCGCAATTCAACAAGCCTTTCTCGCTCTCAGCGTCAGCGTGCTCAGGGCAGCAGTGGTCTTGCCGCTACTCATAACCCTGCTGTGGCTCACCCTCATCAGCGATTCATCCACGCATCCCGTCAAGATCAAGAGGCGCCCAAGGCGAGGCGATAGTGTAGCAGGGCTAGAGGGGGAGAATGGCTCGCCGGCAGGCTCACTGCACGCTCATCAAGGCGCTTTTGGCAAAGGATGGTCAGGCAGCGTCGAGCATCACAGACCTTCCCCTCGTGCTCGGGCGCCGCCTACCTTCATGTCCTGCGTCGCCATCTTCACCCTCTGCCTGGTGGTATCAGCGAGTCTTATGCAGCTGGTTCATCCAATCCTGTCCGGAGTCCTCTTCCGCAATTCCTTCAGCTTCGACCCTTCCCAGCCTTTCTCCAAAGGCCTCTACATGGCCATCGTAGTCATGCCCGGCATCACCCCATACCTAGCCGATCTAGTCATCACCTTGCGCTTGCTGCACTTCTATCCCATCGCCACTACCAGCGCCAAGAAATTGCTCGCCATCTTTGCCATTCCAGTGCTGCTCAAGGTGGGACGTTTGGTCTCACTGACGCTGTTTTGGATCGAATTTCGAGCATCGTTGGACAGATCTCCCACACCTCTAGACATTCACGGCACCACGTACCCGGCGGCGACGACGGAATACGCAGCTCAAGCAGCCGACACGATCTACTCTGCCATCTTCTGCCTCTGGGCGCTTCGCAGAGCGCTGCGTGGGCCCGAAGCAGTGCCAGTGGTGCGAGCAAAGAGTTTCCAAAAGAGGCTGGAACAATTGTGGAACGTGCTCGTCTTTTCCTTCGTCTTGCCCGCCGCTTCCAGTCTGGCACTCCTGCTCGTCTCCCAATTGCACAGCGATCCAAACATTCTAGGCCTCATGATCGCACTCAATGCCATGGTGTGTTGCGTCAATATTCTGCTCAGCTCGATTGCCATTGCGGCTCAGAACGCGCGGCATGCTTCGGAGACGGAGACGGCGATTCTTGCGGAGGATCGTTCCACGGCGGGCGATGGACGCAACTCAAGTGGGGATGCAGGATCCGCTCAGATCGAGGTGTACGGCGGTGGCGGAAGTGCCTTCTTCAAACGATTCCGAAGAAGAACACAAAACATCAGTCCTCTTGTCCACAAAGCTTACAATGCGCACGGAGGGCTGGAGGATAGAAAGACGAGCGGTGGAGGTTCGCCAAGGTTGTTGCCTTATGGGTCTTACGACGATCTTTCACTTCCTCGGAGCGCCGGCAGGGGAGCCTCGGTAGGAAGGCGCAGCGAGGGCAGACAAGGTCTGGGCGAACATACGTACGATCTTCCTTTGCGAGATGTGAAGATTGGCAGCGAAATGTCTGTCAATGGCTGGAGCACTGAAAGCGAGATTCTCAACCAGACGCTCGGTGCTGGTCAGATCAGGAGTGCGAGCAAGGGGAGGACAGAGTCCTTGGTCGGCGACGAGCGCTCTGCAGATTGGATAGAGACGATTGCTCGACCTTCCGAAATTCACGATGCTCAGCACGTCGTACGCAATGCGAATCATGCAGGAACCAGACCCGCTACAGCCTCGAGCTTTGGGTCTTCGCAAATCAGCGCTTCTTGGCAGACCAAGGACGTGCCCTAGAATCTCGGAAACGGCGACGCCTGCTCATCTCATCTCAAGACGTTATTAAAGTGTATGTTTGCTTTGTACCTTGTACCATACCCGACTCGCAAGTGCCCATCAAATCATGCTCACGCATTGGCTGTGCAGGTGACCTTGTATATTGTTGCGTAGAGTGTGATGAGTCTATTTGTACAGCCCACTCGTCCATCCTATTGGGCACGTGCGAGTACACGCACCGTCACACCGAACGGTGCGGATAAGGGCGTGCAAATGAAGCCCTGATGAGATGCGGTGCGCGAAAAAGTTCGTCTTTGAAGGTATTGAGTGGTATCGGCAATAGAAGAGATGAGGGGTTGTCGTGCAAGCTCTCGTTCGCACACGCGGGACTGTAAGGGATTATACGCATCGAGATGGGTGTCGTCATCGACGTATGCTGATAGGTGAACTCTCAGACGGACAATGGCCCTTGAAGAAGTATCAGATCGAGCGAGAGCGCGAAACTCCTATGCCATGCCGGTGGCCTTGAGATTTCTGCACAGAGTGAACCGTGTCAGAGCTGACATGAACCAAGGCGATCCGCAAGCTAAGAACTCACTCGCGCAGAATGGTGTCCTGCACCGAGACCAAGATGGCCTTGATCTGCTTCGTCGAAGTCGCACAGGTTGTGTGAATCTGTACGTGTACATCTCATCAAAGGCGACGGACGTCAGAAACATTGCACCGATCAGTACTAGCTAGCACCAGCTGACTCACGTAGCAAGGTCGGTCGCGCGCCAGGGAGCGGTGCGAGGCGAGGACTTCCCTGAACTTGGTTCGGAAGAAGCGCCAGACTTGCTCAAAATCGTCCGGCCCGTCGTATTCGGGAAAGTAGCTAAGAGGAAAACGGTAAGGAGTGAGTGTGCGCACGAGTTGTGCACTGGGCACGAGTCTTGATACGCACCGCGACACCTGAATTCCAGCAGCCAGCTTACGTTCGAGCACGTCGATTTTGTTCAGAAAGAGGATCAAGGACACTTTGAGTAGCAAGGGATTGGAGACGATCGAGGCGAAGAGTTCCAGGCTGTCGTCGATGCGATTCATGCGCGGCTCCTCAATGAGCTTTTGATCGAAGGCCGAGACAGGAGCCAAAAAGATGATGGCTCTCGCGTCTTCGAAAAAGCTTGCCCAAAACACTCTTTGACTTCGAGACCCGCCCACGTCGCAAATTCGATACGTGGTGTGCCTATCCACCGTGAAGCGATCTTCCGTGATGCCTACTGTTCGCACTCGAGCGCGCATGATATCGTCGTCGGTTGGAAAAAAGTCAGCAGCTGCAATGCGTGGCATTTGCTCCAAGAAACTATTTGATTGCGCAAGCGATTCTCAGGTCAGCATCTACACAGCAGCAGCGCCAATCGGCGGCGCTTCGCGAAGCAGCACTCACTAGCTTGCGCCATCCGCTCGCTCGTCGATCTTTTGCCTCCTTCGCAGCTTTCGAATGCGAGGATCTTGCCAGATGGACATGACGTCTTCCATGCTGGCTAGCAAAAGTCTTCCAATCTCATCTTCATGCAATCCGACCTGCACATCCCCGCTGTCCAAGTCTGGCAAGGGCGGAGGGACGCTCTCCTCCTCCGCCGCATCCGCCGGTGGCTCATTGACGCTCGCGCTCCTTTGTCGGCCAGCTATGTTTAGTTTTTTGAACCTCAAGCGAGATTTGGTACCGTTGGTGTTTGCGCTGCCGATGCTGTCAGCATTGTCGTCGCTGAACTTGGCGCGACCAAGGAGTCGATCTTGCCAGCCTGCTCGCAACAGCAGGGTCGGTCCAGCTCGACGTTTGCCCTGTGGTCTAGCTGCTTCTGCGCGAGCTTGTGAGCGAGCTGCCAATAACGCTGCGCCAGCCACCTTTGGGTCCGAGAGGTCAGCATACTCGTCCACCGCACCCAGTCGGGCGCGTAATTCAGCTTCCAGACTCAGCAAGGGCGCCAAGCGCAGCCTGGCCAAGCTCGTGTCGCCATGGTTGTTGCGGTGGGCAAGCGGATTGATGGCGGAGCTGTTCAAGGATTCCGTGCTGGACTGCGCGCTAGCATTGCCACCAGGCCCCCTACTGACAGAAGGCGGATTGAGCGCTCGAGCTTCGTGCGATTCCTCGAAGACCTCCAACACTGCTCTCACTGCCAATATGAGATTCAGGTATACCACCACCCTCCAGCTGCGCCTTTCGCGCTGGTGAGCGCTTTGATCGTACAAGAGCCGCATCTGGCAAAGCCTTTCCAACATCAGCGTGCTTGCTCCCGGCTGCGCATCTGCACCACTTGCAACTCACCTGCTTTAGCACTGTTGTCTTGCCTGCTCCGGCTTGACCTGTGGAGCGCGCGTCACGCAAGAGATCGCGTTAGCAGTCCGGTCACTGATGCCCCGCGAATGCACCCAAACCTTCGCCTTTGGAAGCTAACCACTCACCGAGCAGCAGCATCTTCTGCTCTCCAGCCCTGTCGCGCTTATTGCGAATAGCCTCTTCCTTGAGCGCCTTGTCGATCTCCTCGCTCCTCTTCTTGGCAGAAGCTTCCTTTCTTTGTCTTTCCAACCTCGCAGCATTGCTTTCGTCCGCAGGTGGTCTCAAGGCCCTGCTCAAAGGATCTTCGCCACCCGCTGCGCCCGACACTGTCGCCGCTGCCGACTTGGCAACCGTCTTGCCTGGCATCGTGCGAGCTCTGCTTCGACTCCGCGAAGATTTCAGCGTGGAAAAGAAGCCGCTAGACGATTTGCGATCCCTGTTCGGCTCCCGCCATTCGGCAGGGTTGACCGCCGGAGCTTGCTGCACTCGTGAAATCTTGTCGCTCGTGTGCGCCGACTTGCTCGACGCTGCTGAGGATTGCAAAGGCTTCTGAAGCGGTTCTGCAGAGTGACGCGAGTCGGGGGAAGGAGGGGCTTTGCCCAACAACGTAGCTGGAGCACCGCCACTTTCCTGCAAGTCGTAGGAAGTTGGTGCGCTGGAGATGGTGGGCGTGCCGCTGGAAGCCGTCTCGCCGTCTCTATGCGCCTTCTCCTTGCCTTTGGAGCTCCCACTCAGTGCAGATCTACGCTTCCTCAACAGGTCCAGATTGCCAGCTTTATCTTTGGGTGTCTTGTTGGTCTGCTTGTCAAATGCTGCACCTTCACCGATCAGAGCGGATATGGCTGCCGAAGAAGCGAGGGTGGGACAGGCTTCGCTAGTGATGGGCTGCTTGGGATTCGACGACTGTACGGTGGAAGGAGGCTTGGAGGCGACGCTACTGGCTGCACTCCTTATGCTGCTGGCGCTACTTGTCGTGCCCTTTGCTGGAAGCTTGCCCCATATATTCTTGAAAGATGAGAGCGAAAGGGTGGGCGAGGGAGGAGGGATGTAGGAGCGAGTGGAAGCAGAGGCGGCGTCCAAGCTGTGGAGCTCCAATTCAGCGGGTGCCAGCGGTGCTGAGCGTGCACTATGATGGGCTTCCTCAGCCGAAAGTTGCTGCTGCTGCTGCTGCTGGGGCTGGGGCTGTGACAGATGTTTTGCGCCTTGGCGCGGTAATGCTGAGCCTGATGAAGCCAGCAGCTGCTTTGCCTTTGATGCGGCGGAAGAAGCAGAAGCAGAAGCAGAAGCAGAAGCAGATGCCGATGCTCTGACTGCAGCAGGTAATAATGTTGATGTGTTGTTTTGTTGCCCGTGCTGTTCAGGCCCACTTTGATGAATCAAATTTGACTCTGACTGTGTTTGATGAGCGCTGTGGGCTGAATCTGAATCAGCTTCAGGTCTGGATATTTGACCCTGACGCGCGCTCCCGTCTGAGTGTCCAACGCTTTCTGCAGCTGCTGCTGCTGCTGCTGGGCTGCTTGGCGCAGGTCCAGGCGAGACTGAGGGATCAAGACGACGTGGGCGTGGCGTCAAGATGTTGGGCGTGCACTGCTGGCTACTGATGGCGCTGATGCTGATGCTGCTACTGTGACTGCTGTTGCTGTTGCTGTTGCTGTTGCTCTTGCTCTTGCTGTTGGTATCGGAAGGCGAAGCGATGAAAGAAAGCTCGTCGAGCTTGACTCCTTGCTTACTGTCGGCAATTGGGCGATGCATGCTATGAGCATTCACGAGGCCTGACGAGCCTGCTAGCCGATCGAGCTCGCACTCAGTGACTGAGACTGGCTGACTAGCTCCGGACTGCTTCACCACCAACCGGCAGGATGCACACTCGCCGCGTGTCCAAGTTCACAATTCGAGATCAGTCACAGCAGTGTGAAGAGATCTGCCAGTTTGCGGAGGCGCGATGTTGTGCAGCGTATACGTCGACTACTGTATCGTGTATAGCGCTCCTTCGTGAAACGGCCCGCACGTCTAGCTGATCGATCGCGCTTAGCGGCAAAGTCAGTTAGATTTAAGGTTAGTGTAACCGTCTTTTTCGGCTCTCTCTCTGCGCGAGTCCTCCGCTCGACGGGATCCTTGCGCTGCTTGCTTCCGCAAAGTCCGCCTCGCTTAGTTAGGGCTGCGAGGACTTGCACAATCGTGAATGCGGCACAGTCGAAAATGCCGCTGCACATGAAGGTGCTGCTGTACCTACCGATAGAAG